TATTAAGCCAATGACATTTTCATGGCTGAAGCTAATGTCGCGCCTACAGTGAATATGGTGTCTGAAGCCAATGATGCACCTGTAACCAATGTGCAGTCTAAAGCCCATGTCAGTGCCACTGCTCCTGTACCGTCTCCAAGGCCTCACACCATTGAGCAAGCATTTTATCAAGGCGAGCTTGTCACTGTTTGATGGCCTATTCTGGTTCCTCCGCCTGCTCCCGGACCTCAATTTGATTATCATGTGGAGCACATGCCTCAGGTCCAGAAGCCAAAACCGAGGCTGCCAAGGTTTCCAGGTATTGCATCTTCGCTAGGATCATTCAATGTGAATGGCTTCATTGAACACAACACCTTCTTTGATAGTGCCAAGAACCTATATTCAAGGCCAAGAATTTCATCTGATCGGTTCTGGAGCTATCAGCAGCGCAGTTATTATTCTTGTGTCTTATACAATCAAGGGCGCATTTTTCCTCATATGCGTCTAGACTGTGAAGCCATTGCTGGACTGCCCTGCTTGGAAGAAGCCCTAGACTGCTTCAGAGATGCTGGCCTTCTGCAGTTTGTGACTGACAAAGAAAAATGGAATGAAGAGCTTCTGCTACAATTCTATGCTACTCTTCACATTCGCGGCTACAACATGGATGCGAAAACTTGGGTCCTTGAGTGGATGACAGGAAATGTACACCATGAAGCCAAAGCTCTTGATATCATTGAGCTTACTGCCCTGCCCACTCCAGGTGAACTTTACGAATGTGGTTGTCAGCTTCATCGCAATGCTTTAGAGAGCATATTCCAGAAGCCTGAGCCCAATATGAGCCAAATGCTGAGCATGATGAAGCCACTGCCACAAGATGCTGAATATCCAAAGGAATTCTTTGTTGAAGACCTAGAGTATCTGCCACACACCATCTATCATATTATAAGACGAACTCTATGGCCCATCTAAGGACATTCTTCTGCAACAAAACTTGAAGGCTCAATGAAGACATTGGTTATCTATATTCTCAATGGCATCAGCTTCAATGCTCAGGATTTCTTCATCCGACAACTTGCTGCATCTGGCTCTGATATATTTGGTCTGTAGTTTTATGCTCCATGGGTAATGCGTCTTATCAAGCTTCACTCTGCTATCAACTATCAGCCCTCTGCGCGCAACCATCTCATATTCCTGCCAGAGGTGGATATGTCTGTTGAAACCATATACCCAGAGCCTGCCAAGGAGCCAATTTATCTTCACAACATCGATCGTCAAAGTTTCACTCAACTTATTGAAGGAGTTCCTGCTGCAACTCGTGTTTATCCTTTGGCTGGAAATACCCGTGCACCTCATCGTGCCCATACTGAAGCCACTGAAAGCACAATTACTCAAAGGCCTCAGAAGAGATCTCGTGTACCCAATGACCAAGAGCTTCTCGTGGCCTTGCATCAGAAACAAGATAAGCATCATTACTGGCTCAAGCATCAGATGCAGAGTCTCTTGGCGGATGTTAATCGCATTCGTAATCTAGCCACCAAGAATGCATTTGTCACTCATGAAACCTGTCGGCGGTCGTGGAAGAGTCTGGCATTCCTCAGTTCTGAAGATGATCTTCTGCAAGATGACTTCGCAGAGAGATTCTTCCACTCCTCCCAGGAACGCTGTCTTGCGTCAGACTCCTTCACTCGAAGACTCCGAGTACTCCTCCTCAGCGGCAACTGTCCATGCCAGAGTCATCGATGACGAAGATGATGCTACTTCACCAACTACCACCTCGGCGCGTATCGACACTGCACCAGGCCCCTATGCACCACCAAACTCCAAAAACGACCTTGCTCCTCCATCTGCTCCTTCTGGAAACGAGTAGATGCTCTATGTCTTCAAACCTTTTTGGTCATTACTGACAAAAGGGGGAGAAGCATATGAGTTGATAGTCTTCAAGTGGGTCCTTATGGGTGGCTGCAATATTTTTGCCAAGTATTACAACTCTCGTCTTTTGATTCATTTGGTTCTCTGAGTTGTAACACTTAAACTTGATGGTCGTCTGCTACTTTATCTGCTATTTTGTGATGCAATGATAAATCCCACATGAAGTCATTTTGCAGACGTCCATTTTCCATTATACATATCATTATCTTCTTTACTTACTTATATGCATAATGTATTGTCTTCACAATTTGATGATGGCCTCCACAAAGCAAAACCTGCCATGTGCATTTGCATTCAGACGCAATTCATATATATGCACATCTTCAGGGGGAGCCTCATCTTATGAAGACAATACTCACAACACTAAAACTTTCACATACTTTTATTCCCGTCGAAAACTTCAACCAGTTTGTCACTAATCACCAAAAAGGGGGAGATTGTAAGTGCATCTAGCGCCACCCCTAGTTGGTTTTGGAGTATTGACGACAAACCTGGTTGAGGGACACATGTAGTAGTCCCATATTGATTCGGTTTATCTACCAGAGATGACCCCTAAAAATGTGTGAAGACATTGAAGACAATGGTGGTTTGTGAAGACATTCACAATGAAGACTATGACAGAGAAGACATCGCATGAAGACTATGGAGTGCGAAGACATAGTTGTCTCGTAGTTTCCTTTTCTTCTTTGTTGAGTCATAGGAACCACCGTGCTGTTAAGTGGGGTCCTAGTGAACAAAGTCAGAGTGACTAATGTGATGCTCAACCAAATCCTATGTCTTCGAGCGAAGACAATGAGAGCAAATCTTATCCAGAGCTGGATGAGTCAGCATGACTTGTAGCCCAAGCTATGCTGCCGCGTGTGTTTGAAATCTGACCATTGGACACGTGTCAGTTCCTTAGTGACCCAGGGTCATTTCAGACAAATCAGGTCGGGTTGCCTCCTGGCTATAAATAGCCCACCCCCTACACCATAAATTGGTGGCTGCTCAGAGTTAGTGCACGACTTTTGTCATTTCAGAGCAACCCACCTCCGAAGCCTTTGAGAGAGAATCCTTGCGAGGAAAAAGCCCAAACACCCAGAGCCAAAGAGTGTTAGGCATCACTGAAGTCGTTCCGTCCGTGGGATCTGGAGACTTATTACACTTGAGGACTGTGAATCCTCCAGTCGGTTAGGCGTTGCGTTCTGTGCATCCAAGAGTCATTGTGGATTGCCGGTGAACGAAGTCTGTGAAGGTTTGGAAGTCTCCCTTGAAGACTTACCAGAGTGATTGGGAGAGGACTAAGTGTTCTTAGCTCAAGGGGAATAAGGTGAAGACGCGGTCTTCTGAGTTGAATCTCAGCCTCCCTAACCAGACGTACAGTTGTCACAGCATCTGGAACTGGTCCAACAAACCCATTGTCCTCTCCGAGCAACTGGTTCTATCCTACCTCTGTCACCTTACTTACAGTTTGTCTTCGTGAAGTCTTTGCTTACTTGCCTGATCTGATTGACTTCACCGTGTGAAGGCTATAGTCTGCTTGGCTTCATACTATCTTACATTCTGATCCATTCTACCTAGCTGCTTATAGTCTTCGTACTTTCACCTCATCGCTTACTTGACTATGGCTTGTCTAGTGTAGTCTATCTTCCGCTATATATCTATATGTTCAATTATATTGTTTGTCTTCAAAACACCCCTGTTTGAAGACTTTCATAAAAATCGCCTATTCACCCCTTCCCCTCTAGTTGAATACTAGCACTTTCAAAACCCTAGTCCGCCCGGTGGTGATGTTAAAAAAGCACAACATTGACAATCACAATTTCAAAAGTTTGACCTTAATTTTACGGCTCACGTATCGAAAATAATACAAGAAATAATGAGATGTGCATGATCACAGACTGGCAAAGCTAGAGAGTAGGTCGTAATTTTAAGAATGAGTATCATATACTCTCTCCATCCAGAAATACTTGTAGACATGGATACAAATGGGTGTATTTAGAACTAAAATACATCTAGATACATCTACTCCTCGGACAAGTATTTCCGGACAGAGGGAGTAATATTTTGGCCCACAAACCCACGTTAATAGCAACCCAGTAGCCCAGCCCACCATCTATTCCTGCCCATGCGTGAGAGCATCACCTAAATCGCTCGACCGCCACTCAATCAGACACCCCCCCCCCTCACCATCGTGACTACCCCCTCCCCCGCATGCTTGCTTCGCCATTGCTCCCCTCGTCGGCGCCGCTCAAGGCTCAACCAGTGCACACCGTCACAAAGTTACCCCTCCTCCTG